GAGGTTGCTGTGAGCTGTGATGCCATGGCACTCTACCCAGGGGGACAGCTTGAGGCTCTGTCTCAAAAAAAAAAAAAAAAAAGAAAAAGAAAAATGCTGCTGTTTTCTTCGTGTCATTATCCCCATAAACTTGAATTACTGTGCCCCTGATTTCACTTCCACTCTTACTAAGTTTAATAGGAAACTTAATGTTTGTCTGTTACTCTAATTCAAGCTCCAATATTCTCTCAATGGCACACAAAAACACACAACAATAATGAAAATGAACACTACTCAGCCAAACACTGCCACATATCAACATGAACACAGGTGTAAGACACTGATATACCAATGTTATGAAACCTTATTAAGTTGTTTATACAGTAATGCCAACATAAGTGCACAGTTGGAAGTTTGTGAACTTAATTGTCAGACCTTCATATGTTTAGTTGCAAATTGTTCTTTTTTTCCCTTTTTCTCATTTTCCTAAAGGGCTTTCCATTGAATATAGTAATAATGTGAAAGGAGAAAAATGTGGCTACCTGTATTAATTATTGAGACCTTACCATATTGTAGATACTATGTTGAAGGTTTTACATGAGAGAATATAAATTGAACATCTATAATTCAAAAATCTTAAATCCAAAATGCTTCAAAATCTGAAACTGTTTTTTTTTTTTTTTTTTTTGAGACAGATGCTCACTTTGTTGCCCTGGTAGAGGGCTGTGGTGTCATATCTCATAGCAACCTTAGACTCTTTGGCTCAAGCGATTCTCTTGCCTCAGCCTCCTAAGTAGCTGGAACTACAGGTGCCCACCATAATGCCTGGCTGTTTTTAGAGATAGGAGTCTTGCTCTTGCTTAGGTTGGTGTCGAACTTGTGAGCTCAAGCAGTCCACCCCCCTTTAGCCTCCCAGAGTACTAGGATTATAGGCATGAGCCACTGTGTCCCACCCTAAAATTTGAAACTTTTTTTTTTCTTTGCAGTTTTTGGCCGGGGCTGGGTTTGAACTTGCCACCTCAGGCATATGGGGCTGGCACCCTACTCCTTTGAACCACAGGCACCACCCCAAATTTGAAACTTTTTGAGCGCCAGCTTGACATTCAACGGAAATGCTTATCAGAGTGTTTTCGATTTTGGAGTTTTAGATTAGGGATGCTCAACTGGTAAATACAGTGGAAATATTCCAAAATCTGAGAAAATTCAGAATTCTAACCACTTCTGGTCCTAAGCATTTTAGAAAAGAGATACTCTCAGGCGGTGCCTATGGTTCAGTGGGTAGGGTGCCGGCCCCATATACTGAGGGTGGCGGGTTCAAACCCAGCCCAGGCCAAACTGCAACAAAAAAATAGCCAGGCACTGTGGTGGGCGCCTGTAGTCCCAGCTACTCAGGAGGCTGAGGCAAGAGAATCGCCTAAGCCCAGGAGTTGGAGGTTGCTGTGAGCCGTGTGATGCCACAGCACTCTACAGAGGGCAATAAAGTAAGATTCTGTCTCTACGAAAAGAAGGAAAAGAGATATTCTGTAGATAATCTGTAGCTGCATTTTATAGATGAGGAAATTTAAGTTTAGATAAATTAATTTGCCTAACTTGTCACAGTTAATCAGTAGAGGAGTTAGAGCTTAAACCTATGTGTTTACCACCTTGCCTTTTACGGTTGCTGTAGCATATGCAGAAATCAGATGATCTTTAGGGAAGGCAGGGACTGGACCTTCCAAAAATTATGCCAAGTAACAGCCTATTCTTTTGAGTGTTCTTACCATGGTGGCATCTCTTGGTCAACTGACTGCTGATTTTCTACACCAAAGATCACTTGCATTGGATCTTCTCCGAAGTCTGTAGTGTCAGCAGAATTTGACTGTTGGTTATAAGAAGTATAGAGTACCTTTCCTTTGTCAGATCAACTAAAAATGCAGTGGGTTTTACCTCCTTACATTATGTAAAACCCTACAAACATTTGAACTGGTGTGAAGGCAAAGCTGTCTCTTTCTCTACTCCCAGCTGACATGCAAAAGATCCCCTCAGAAACTTAATTAAATATCTATGTGGGGAATGAGACTGTCAGTTGGGTGTTCAAGTAATGACTTTTCTTGGTAGCTGTAAAAACTGCCAGTCTGAGAACTGTTTTGTTCCTTGCTTCTTTTGGATTAGAATTGGTGCTTGATCTAAGTCTTTCCTCAATTCCTGTAGGTGGAAGGAAAGGTCATTGCTTTTCTTCTCACTTGTAGGAGATGGTCCAATTGCTTAATGAGTTTAAATGTATGTTCATTTCCACATGCTGCCCATAAGTGATGGGACAATGGTTAAATCCCAGTGTCCTGGCCAGATTGTTGTTTGGGTAATTACAATCTTTTTTTCAGTTCCCCCTGCAGTGTTATTTGGGTATTGGATCTCCATTAATGGCCTCTCTGGTTGTTAAGCAGCTGCCACTTTCCACCCCCAAGGTGGCTTTGTTTTACGGGTGGGTAGATTACTCCTTGCATATAGTCTGTGAAATGTTTAGGGAGTCTCTGGGATGAGAATGTAAGTTAGCAATGTATAAATATGTGCCTGATGGCAAAGAAGCTTTTATGTCCCCCAGAAGACAGTTGTCCCTATGGACTTGGTAACTTACAGATATGGTAGGGCAAAGTGAATTTTGTGGAACATTGACTTACTTTCTAGAAAGAAGAGGGAAAGATGGGAGCGGTGGTAGACATAGGCCTACACTAATTCAGCCTAGGGGAAATGCAAATAGAACAGAACTGGGAGTTTGGTTGGGTGTGTGTGTTTGTGTGTGTGTGTGTATGTATACATACTTTGTGCATGCTTGATGAATGCCCATATACATTGAGAGACTTACTGGAAATGGGGAGAGTAAACAGGCAAGATAGGTTTGGACTGGGTATTAGGAGCATTGTTATAGAGAGAGGGCCTTATAGAAGCATTTTTATTAAGACTTTTAGGTTGCTAATGGTCACACTTACCTTCAGTCTCTTCTTATTTGACAGTCTGTAAATCCTTATATCGTGAAGCTATCTATTGTGGATGATGAGGCCACGCTTAATGTGAGTATCTGGATCTTGGTGTATAATCTCTTTCAGTGATATAAAGGGCAGAGAACTATAGTTTTCATCTGGCTATAAAGAGGGAATTAGCATCACTGCTAATGATGATGTTCTTTTCAGAGCATCACTGCTACTGTCTTCCTATCTTCTGTCTTGTTATCATGGAAGGAAGGTTTTGAGGGGACATATGGTTGCCAATCATGATGAAATCGTTGGTTATATTTCATGTTATACTGTTCTGAGGTTGATTATCCTGCAGAGTCAATATATTACACATCCAAAAATGAGAAAGCTTAGATGACTAAATAATGGGAGATTCCTTCTAATAGCACTAGCCAAATGTTATTTATAGCCTGACTTGGTGAAGCTGAAACAAGGGGATGATCTGTATCTGCTATATATATCCTTGGAAGTTTGGGAAGTAACGATTGACCTCTGTGTATAGGGAGGAAGAAGATGACTAGGTGTCTGGCTTTATTCTTTTTCTATCCTTCCCTCTTCATCTTTTCCATTTTCCCGTGTATAAAAAATGCACACATGATTCATCCTGGTGGCCTTAGTTCATCTCTGTGTTACACTTCACAGGTCCTGGGGGAATTTAATAAGTCACTTTAACATTATTAGATACGTCTTCCCTTTACCTTCTTGTTTTTCTGTGGCCTGAAAGAACGTGACTTGTCTGTATGCACCTTTATTTACAGTGGGATTCATTGTCATATTTAATGTGGCTGATTTGGAGACATATGAAGGCTTTTTGTTTGAATATTTTAACTTACTCTTCTTTTTTGAATTGAAAATGATCCTACTGAAATTATCAGTATCTGGGCTGGTCTGTTTTACCCCTTATTACTCTATTTTAATTGTACCTGGTAACATTAAGATAATTTAAATAAGAATAATTTTTCCAAAGAAGTTCCTTTTGATGCGTTGACAGTGCCTCTGAGAATTTCTGTTCTTGTCAACTTTTAAGCAGAACTTCTTGGGCTTGGACCATAATTAGTGTTCTTCCTGAGCTAGTTTTAGCATCACCATCAACCCTCAAAGGCTGCTGTCTTATTTCATCTGTGCTATCTTTTCCTTTCTAGGGAATGGGGCTTGTAATTGCTCAGGCTTTATCTGAGTACAACAGGTAAGTCCACTTTTCCAGAATGGAAGGGTCTAATTTTCATTTGAATTGGTTGAGGAGGGAACATATTTGTTAAGAGTGTTTGGATGAAATTCCCTTCCCTTATCCTAAAAGAGGTAAAGATCCTGGCATAAGTATTTGTTCTAGCTCCACTTGACAGCTTTAGCGGGGGTTATTTTTAACACCAGGGAAAGTGTAGCCACCAAATTAGTGTCTCTAGGCACATTCTTTTATAACCTTTGATGTTTTGTTGTAGAACATTTTAACTAGTTTACTAGCCATAAAAGGATCTTCCATTTAGTACAATGCATCATTGGAAACCAGGAGCATACCCAGTCTTGGCAAGGACCAGGTGGTGGGATCTTTCTGATCCCCTCTAGACTTTCCTCACACACAGGTGGGTATCAGAACTTCAAATTTGTTCCATCTCATTAGTTCAGTTCACAGGTTTCCCTCCTTCAAAAAACAAGCTAGGGCCGGGCGCAGTGGCTCATACCTATAATCCTAGCACTCTGGGAATCCTAGATGGGTAGATTGCCTGAGCTCACAGATTCGAGACCAGCCTGAGTAAGAGTGAGACCCTAAAAACAGCCAGGTGGTGTGGTGGGTGCCTGTAGTCCCAGCTACTTGGGAGGCTGAGACAAGAGAATCACGTAAAGAGTTTGAGATTGCTGTGAGCTAAGATACCATGGCAGTCTACCAAAAGCGACAAAGTGAGACTCTGTTAAAAAACAACAACAACAACAACCCCCCCCCCCACCAAAACCATAGGCTGGGGCAGTGGCTCACTCCTATAATCCTAGCACTCTGGGAGGCCGAGGCGGGTGGATCTCTTAAGATAGTAAGTTTAGGTTTGGTGCCTATGGCTCAAGTGGCTAAGGTGCCAGCCACGTACACCCAAGGTGGTGGGTTCGAATCCAGCCCAGGCCCGCCAAACAACAATGATGGCTGCAACCAAAAAATAGCTAGGCGTTGTGGTGGGCGTCTGTGGTCCCAGCTACTTGGGAGGCTGAGGCAGGAGAATCGCTTGAGCCCAGGAGTTGGAGATTGCTGTGAGCTGTGAAGCCACAGCCCTCTACCCAGGGGGACAGTTGGAGGCTCCTATCTCAAAAAAAAAATAAATAAAATAAAGATAGTAAGTTTAAGACCAGCCTGAGCTAGCTCAAGATCCTGTCTCTAAAACTAACCAGGCATTGTGGTGGGCGCCTGTAGTCCCAGCTACTTGGGAGGCTGAGGCAGGAGAATCGCTTGAGCCCAGGACTTTGAAGTTTCTGTGAGCTGTCATGCAACGGTACTCTATCAAGGGCAACAAAGTAAAACTGTCTCAAAAAACAAACCCAAAAAGCAAGCAAGATTTTCACTGTTATAGCCTTCAAGTAATTTCACTGTCACACTTTTCAATTAATAGTCTGGGAAATAACTGTGTCAGCCATATGTTAGAGCAGTTTTGTACTTTTGCAACTTGCTTTCTAGTCTCTCTCGAAGTAGTCAGGCATACTCAAAAGCAGGCAAGTGCCTCTTAACTTGCAGGGGAAACTGCAGTAGCTGGATTGTCATAATGCTTTAGTTTTCTGGAGCCAGAGAATTCTAAGAATGCCCACCCCTGGTTACCTAAAATTCTAAGGACAAAGACGTACTTGATAAATAATTCTGAAGTTGAATTTAGTTCTTTTTGTTTAGGCAATATAAAGATAAGGAAGAAGAACACCAGAGTGGTTTTTTCTCTGCTTTAACAAACATGGTAAGTCCTACTTGCTTTTTTCTCTTGCTCAGAAATACATGAAATCTGAGTTAGGCCAATCTGGGCTCAGAAGTTCAGATGTTTGAAGTGATGGCATGATGAGGGCAGAAATACTGCTCAGAACCTATTTTATTGGGAACTGTGTTTCCTTTAGTGAGTTTTATAACCAAGTGAGATATGGAAAGGAGAGCTTTGGTTTCTCTCCTCCCCCCAAATTAATTAAAGGCTAAAGAAGAGGTACACATTAAGCCAGACTTTTGTTTCCTAAAGAGTTGGCTTTATTTGGGGACTGATGCTGTAAAACACAGAACAGTAAGGTTTAAGCTGATGTAAGAGCTCCTGAGTGCTCCTTTGCTGTCTTCTGTGGCTGTTTGATTCCTTGTAGCTGGTTCTGGGGTTGAGGGATTACGCAGTGGATCTGAGCCATTCCTCTAAACACTTAGAGTCTGGGTTGAGAGGTTCAAGGATTAGGGAAGTTATTGGTCTGGTTTGTAAGTCTCCAAGGTAGGGTTTCTCAACTTTGATGTCATTGGCATTTTGGATCAGATAATCTGGGACTGACTTTTAAGAGATAAATATAGGAAGTACTAGAATCTAGGCAGATTCATTAATTCTGTCTTCTTAGGCATTAATATTGAAGTAATCAGCTCTAGGGCAAGACAATTTTTGAGTTCATCTCCTCTCTACAAAGAAATTGTTTTCCCCCCAATATTATATGTACCATTCTTTTCTGTCTCAAAAAAAAAAGAAAGAAGAGCTGGAGAGAAGTACTAGATTTTTTGATGGCCTTTTAAGGCAAGATGATTTAGTAGGGTATTTATTATTTCATTTATTTTATTTTATTTTTTTTGAGACAGAGCCTCAAGCTATCCCCCTGGGTAGAGTGCCATGGCATCACGCTCACAGCAACC